TGGTCTCCGTCATCTCGTCGTAGCATATCCATGGAGGGCCCATCTGGATCGCCTTGGTGGCGTATGTGATGGCATTCTGACGGCCTTGATCTCCGCCACCCTCGAGCCACGCCACCCTCCCGACCGCTAGGTACTCGCCCTTTTTGAAGAACTCCTGCGTGAAGGAGCTCACCTGCTTCAAGGTGTTCCTGTACTTGTCATATTCTCCAGCTGCCCATTTCTGACGAAAATCGCTCAGAGGTTTACCATCATCCTTCCACTTTTTGAACTCATCTGCGACACCATCCTTATTCCCAGCAATCGCCCTCTGCCAGCGCCCCGCCATGGGGTTGCCAGCCTTCCCCTTCGCACTGAACTCGAAATTCGATTGTTTGTACTTCTGCCAGAATGCCCACTCATCTGGATCAGCACGGTTCGTCATGGAGACCTCTTCGTCTGCTTCTTTCATGGCGGCGGCCATCTTCATCACGCCAGAGTTGTGGAAGGTTGCCAGGTGCTTGTTCACAACAGTCCAGTCCATGCCAGCATTCTCGGCCACTTCCTTCAGCGCCGACTCGGACTGCTCGAGCTGCGCCTTCAATGCATTCTTAACTGGTGGTGTGGTTGGCGGGCGCTCGCACTCGTCCCATCGGCTCTCATCATGACGCACCTCACGACCAGCACCGTGCACAGCGTCCTCAATAGCGCCCACAGCTTGTGGAGTGGACGGCTGCGACTGCTGACACGCTGGGCCATCCTTCGCCACGTCGTCCTCGGCTGCCTCGGCTGCGTCATCCCTCATGGCCTCGACTGCCGCATCACTCATGGCGACATCATCACACTCCTCCTGCATGCGGCCGTCGTTCCCAGCAGCGTTGCCAGGGGCCAGCGTCACAGCTGTGATCTCGACCTCTGGGGACTCTGGTGACTTGGGCTCACCACCCGCCGCCGATGACACGGCCAGCTCTGGATGTTGTCGCTCCCAGGAGTCCATGCCCGCCTGGTTGTCGGGAGGCGGCGTCGCTGAGTCACGAACTGTGCTCTCGAGGGGCCGCGCCGTCTGCGACATGGCCTGGGCGTTCGCGAACGCGCGCCCGAGAGGAGTGAGACAGCTCTCCTTGGGCACTTTCCCAAGCCACTCGACGAGCATGAGCCAAACAAGCTTCAGAGAAGAGGGTGAAGAGAAGGCAGCTGAGGATGGAAGACAACGGCTTGATGACGCCAGAGAAATCCCACCAGCCCTCTGGGCGCGGGTGGTCTAGGGCGTGTCCTTTTCCGACCGCCTTCCTTTCCCTGCTTGGGAGGTTTACCAAGACGGCCCAAGAGGCCCCTCGGGCATCCCAACCGAGCCCCAAGAAGGCCCCCAGGCCCCACCAAAGAGCCCCAAGACGCCCAAACAGAGCACACATATGCCCCAAGAAGGCCCTAACAGGATCTCAGGAGAGCCCAAAGGCAGAGCCCCAGGAGGCCCCAGGAGGGGCCCACGATAATCCCAAGTTGAGCCCCAAGATGCCTCCAAGTTACGGAACGCACGCGAATTTAACATACAAATCAGTGCAACAGCCATTGAGTCATCGAAGCACCCCTCACCCCTCATCGAAGCACCATCGTAGCTTGCACGGATTTCCATCTTAAACTTCAACGCTGGAAGCTATGTGGGATCCTTGTTTTCTCGAAGACGGCTGCACGACTGCATGCATCCTGCCGTCCCTGATTCACCAGCCCCCCTGCCGATCTTTCTGGATGGGCTGGTGGAGATACGCGAAGCGTCAAGAATTCGCAGGATGTGGCCTCGTAGTCCTCCCCCTCCTCGAGGAGAGATCTCCGCGCATGGTCAAGCTCATCCTTTTCTCCTGCACTCTCTCTTTCTCTCTCTCTCTCTCTCTCTCTCTCTCTCTCTCTCTCTGTATCCCTCTCTTTATATCTCTGTTTCCTTGTCTCTCTCTTCTCCTCCTCCGTCCACTCCTCGCCCTCCCCCCCCTCCGCCTCCTCCTCCTCCTTCCTCATCTTCCTCCTCTGTTTTTGTGTTCTTCACGCGCTCACTAGGAACCCCTGATTCTGCCCATGATGGCATTTGATATTCGGTGTTCTCTCTTCGGGCCTCTCGTCATTTATGTTGTTTCGTGGCTGTAAGGATACAGTTCTCACCATCCCAGTCCATCCCGCACGCTGCAAATCTGATTTATATTCGCTGCGTTAGCTTTATACGCACTGGACGTTTGCTGTGGTCCTCATTCAAAACACGTACAGGCACACGAACCGCATGGCGCTAACATAACATAACAACACAAGCATTGAACGGAGCACGTAGCAACACATAACCATAAGCTACTACATACTATCATATGCAATGCGCATGTCATGGCGTCCAAATTTGGACGTCGGCGTCCAAATTTGGACGCCAGCATTCTGGCGTCCAATTTGGACGTTATGAGACCTCAGGGGAGGAGGAGGAGAGGGAGGATGAGGAGGATGAGGAGGAGGAGAGAGGAGGATCCCGGGCCCGCTGCCGCCGCCCGGCTGCGGGGCCGCGGGCACGCCGCCGCTCGGCGAGAGGCTCCCGCAGCACCTCACGGCGGGGCACCGAGGGGCAACCGACACCGCTGCTCCCCTGGGTGGCGACGTCCTGGACCCTGTCCTCCTCCTCCTCCTCTCCCCTCCTCCTCTCCTCCTCCTCCTCCTCCCCATCCTCCTGCTGCTGCTGCTGCTGCTCCCTCCTGCTGCTGGTGCTTCTCCTCCTCCTCCCTCCTCCTTCATTCCTCCTCTTCTTCCTCCTCCTCCTCCTCCTCCTCCTCCTCCTCCTCCTCGGCACGGTCGCAATGGTACCGGGGCCTTGCCGCGAGGGACCCGCTCGCTTCGCGACTCCTCTGCATGGGGGTTCAACGGGTCCTGAGGGAAACGGGCCTAGAGAGATCCGAGGACCTGATTTTTCCAGTCCGGCGCTGTTCCTGAATCTCAGCCTCCCGGGCCCGTTGTCGGGCCCCGGGGGCCCTCAAGAGTGGGCCCGGGACAACAGAACCCACGGGGAAGGGGTCGGGACCTCCTCGGGGCCGCGCAGTGGAAAGATCAGATCGGCGGATGCCTGGGCCCCCCCACCAACCATCGGTTCTTCTGGGGGGCGAGGGTCGGGTTCGGATGTCACCATGCGTTCGACGGATCCCGAACCCTGCCCCCATCGCAGAGCGATCCCCAGACCTCTCCTGGGGTGCGCTCTGACCAGAACTTCGAAGCGAGCCCAGCGGCGGAGACGAGGGCCTCCCGAGAGGACCACAAAGGCCAAAAGACGGGGGACAGAGTACATACGGCAGGCTCGTGTCGTGCCGACCTCGGTGTTGGTTTCTAACATGGCGGGGATTGTTCAACCTTCAACGATCGGTCGTTTCCGAAACGGCAGATCGTTCAACGTCGACCGACTCTGGGTCGCCAGCGGCGCTCAACGTTGAGCACTGGCGGCGAGTTCGCCGCCAATCGACACGACGCGAACCTACCGTACTCCCCAGATCTCTCCCAGGGTGCGTTCTGACCAGGACTTCGAGGCGACTCTGGCCGTGGCGAGGATGGCCTCCCAGGAGGCCCGATAAGGCGAAAACGAAGCAAGAGTAGCTCGGTGGCTTCCCCGACGTGCGACGCCCTCATTTTTTCCAATACGCGATCCCCGGCAGTCCCGACCCATTGCCCGGGACCGGCTTTGCACCTCGAGTCGTTGCTTGACGGCCCCATTGGGCCCCGCGCAAGGGCCCGGAAACTGTGAGCAACCTGCCGTCGCAATCTTGGCACGACGCGAGCACGTGTCGGTGTTCTCACGCGGAACCTCTTCTCGGCGGCGCCGCCGCCGCCGCTGCGCGGGGGCGCGAGGTGCCGCGGGAGGGCGCACGGCGGGGAAGGGCGCGCCTGGACCAGGGGGCTTCCGCGCCCGCCTCTTCGGCGACCGAAAGGTTGAAGGGGAACTGGAACACACAAATAAATACACACAAATAAAAGGATCCCCCGTATTTTCCCATATGTTCTGGGTTTTTGTCTTCCCCCCCACTTCCCATATCTTCCCATATTTTCTGGGAAATCGAGGATTCATTGTGTCTGTGTGTTTCTTCCCCCCTGAGAAAGGTGGCCCCCCGAGGGGACGCGCCGGGTCGGGCGACGGGCGGGCGTATCGTGCCCGATGCAAGCAGAGCCTGGACGTGGCCCCCCTGGCGCGGGGATCGGCATGGGCCTCATGTGGAACTGATGTGGGGCCAGATTTGAGGGGCATGTTTTCCGCCACCCACCGCCACCAGAAGTTGGAGGGGGAGGGGGTCCTCCTCCTCCTCCTCCTCCTCCTCCTCCTCCTCCAGCGTCTCCTCTTCCTCCTCCTCCTCCTCCTCCTCCTCCTCCTCCTCCTCCAGCGTCTCCTCTTCGCCCTCCTCCTCCTCGTCCTCCTCCTCCTCCTCCTCCTCCAGCGTCTCCTCTTCGTCCTCCTCCTCCTCGTCCTCCTCCTTCGCCTCCTCCTCCTCCTCCACCCTCCTCCCCCCTCCAACTCATGGTGGTGGTGGTGGAAAGCAGGCCCATCGAGATCTGGACCGGATTTGGACCAGATTGGCCCCTTCACACGGGCCAGCTGCGGTCCAACTAGGGTCCACGCGCAGAGCAGAACCTTTTTCAGCGCCGCCGCTCAAGGCCCCCATATGCATGGACATCGGAGATGCCGGGCCGGACGACAGGGGAGAGGGTGGCAAAGGGGGGGATTGACAACCACCCCTCGAACCAGGGACAAATCACGACCGAAGGTTTCTCGCTGCCTTGGGCGTCTACGGGGCCCTTATAAGGGCCCCGGGACCGTGCAAAAAGGTCTCGGGATGGAAGACCGGTCCGAATGGAATGGGTCGAGACTTCTGGGGGTCGGCGTCATGAAATGAACCCGGCGGTTCCCTTGGGGAATGAACCTGGAGCGAAATCGACGAAACGAGCCCGGCGCGCCCGCGCAACTGAAATCCACGATGAGCTTGCCCGAGGAAACTGGGGAATCCGGGGACCCCGTGCACGGACCCGAAGAACCCGGGGAAGCCGAGGAACCCGGAGAACCCGATGAACCCGAAGAACCCGGGGAACCCGAGGAACCCGGTGAACCCGAGGAACCCGGGGGACCTCAGCGGGCAAAGTAGCCACCCGAGGCGCCAACCTTTTACCAAGTAAAAACATCGTAGGCAAACCTCATTGGGGAAAAATCATGACTTCGGAGGTCTGGGGAAGCAGCTCGTGCAAATGGTTTTCCCGCCGCCTCCAGGCGCTGGAGGCGCCAACGCATCGAGGAAAGGTCCCACCCGCAGGATGCAGCAGATTTCGTCCAGTATGAGCTCGACCACAACATACCTTCCACAAAAAACCCAACCCTGGAACCCTAGGGCCTCCCTGGATTTTTGGTGTGGGAACGTCGCGCTTCCCATGGCAGAGCCATCGAAACCTACGAAACCCAGGGCACCCTGGAGACAAGCCGGGTGTTTCTTGGCATAGGATTCCACTGATCGGTGGTAACTCATGGGAGCCTCCCATACTATCTTGTCGGCTCTTGCGAGTCGACGCTCGTCGACGCTAAATCGACGCTCATCGACGCTAGCAGGCTCTGAATCGGCGCAATATCATCGACCCCCAGACGCGAATCGACGCTAGTGGACGCTAAAGACGGAGTCGAGAGGATATACCAGGCTCCCATGATGTGCTACAGAGCAACTGTATCCCCCCTTACGTCCGACCCGGGGATGGGGCCCGCGTGCCGGCAGAAGGAGCGCAGGAGAAGGAAGGGGAGGAGGAGAAGGAGGATGATGAGGAGGAGGAGAGGGAACAGGAGGAGGAGGAGAAGGAAGAGGAGGAGGAGAAGGAGGAGGAGGTGCAGATGAGGAGGAGAAGAGGAGGAGGAGGAGGAGGAGGAGGAGGATTTAGAGTTAGGAGGTAGGATGAGGAGGAGGATAGGAGGAGGAGGATGGAGGAGGAGGCAAGTAGGAGGTAGAGGTTAGGAGGTAGAAGGTAGAAGTAGGAGGTAGGAGTTGGAGTTGGGAGGTTGGGAGGAGAGGAGGAGGCTTAGGAGGAGGAGGAGGAGGAGACAGTAGAAGGGGAAGTGGGATGAGATGAGGATGCGGATGCGATGAGTAGGCGTGCGGGAGGAGTAGGGGGAGGAGGATGAGAAGAGCGGAGGAGGAGGAGGATGAGGCGGAGGGGGGGGGGGGTGAGAATAGGGGATGAGGAAGAGGAGGAGGCGGTCATGGAACGGAGAGGAGGAGGGGAGGAGGGAGGGGGAGGAGGAGGAGTAGGGGGTAGAGGAAGGAGGAGTTTTAGGATTAGGCCTGCGGGAGTATGGATGCGGAGGGATGCGAATGGGCTGCAGAGGGATGCAGGGGAGATGGGTGCGGAGGAGGAGGAGGAGGAGGAGGAGGAGGAGGAGGAGGAGGGAGGAACCAGCATGCCCTGCTGTCCACGGCAAGCCTCATCCACGAGCAGTCTCTTGGGGGGGGGGCCATTTCTTAGGGCCTCCACCCCAAGGGGTGTCTCAATAGGTGGCCTCTGGGGGTCTCTTCTGAGAATTGTCTTCAGATGGAGGGCTCAGGGTGAAGTCCATATCGGCTTTTGTACCTCGAAAACCAATCCGTCTTGTGATTTACCTGTTGCTAATGCAAGCCTCGGAAACCCATCGAAACGGCATTTCAGATTTCACCCTTTGCCCTCCACCCAAAGAAGATGTTCGGCTCTTACAGTAGGCGCCCGACCACAAGAAGCCTTCCACCAGAAGCCCAACCATGAGACCCCGGGACGTCCATTCATGTTTGGTGCTGGAAAGTTGCGCTCTCCATCCACCCTGGAGGCCAGCAGGGTGTTTCTTGGCATGGGTCTCCACTGTAAGGGGGCCCCTTCGGTGCTTGCTGGCGGTCTCGGGGGCCCTCTTCGGGGTAGAGGGCTCCAGACAGCAGTTCGGATGCCCCTCGTGGGCCCCTCCTGGGGGCCTCTGGGGCCCCCCTGCCTCACTGCCAGCTCACCGCCAGGGCGGGCGGTGGCTCCGCGCCTCCCGACAGGAGGCCCGACCGCACGGGGGCGTGCGGCCTTGCGATTGAGGGCGGAAGGCGACCTTTTTCTCCCCAGCGTCGTCCGCTGTGGCTGGGGGCTGACGCCGATGCGTGCGCCTACAGGAGGCGGGTGGCGTTCGGGTTGGTGGCGAGAGCCGTGATGACTTCTTCGACCACGGTCGAGGAGCAAAGCACAAGTTGAGGCAAGGCCACGGCTTCTCTTCCTCCTCCCCAGACCACCGACGTGATTATTGGTCATGACGTCGGCACCCAGAAGTCTGTTGTGCCTACGAGCTGACGCCGATGCGCCTCCAGGAGGCGTGTGGTATTCAGACCCTGGGGGGCCTCGTGGGCCGTATTGGTGCCCTCTTAGACCTTAGACCCTCCTGGGAGCCTCTCAGGCGGTCTTGGAGCGAAATTGTGGGCGGTCTTGGGCGTTCTTGGGGTTTTCCTTGGGGCTATCGGGGAGGCGTCTCAGGCCATCCAGACATCACCTTGGGCTGCTTTACCGACTCTGATCGTCTTGGGTTCTCTTGGAGGCTCCTTGGTGCGCCCCTGGAGCGCCTTGGGAGCCCCGAAGGGGACGCACAGAGAAAAACATCTCTGAGTCGAGGTTGTGGGCGCAGTGCTCGAGGTACTTTTCGTCCGGGGACTCCGAGGGGTGGCCCCGCGCGCGCGCGAACTCCTCCTCCTCCTCCTCCTCCTCCTCCTCCTCCTCCTCCTCCTCCTACTGGAAGCAGTTACTGGAGAGATCTTAGCACGCCTCTGGCCTGGCCCGTCGGACGAGCAACTTTCAGCATCACGACTGTCTGAGAGAGGTCCCAAGCTGATGCTTTGCTGTTTCGGTCCCCTCGCCCTTCCTTGCCCGCCCCTCGGGGCCCCATCTTCGAGCCGCCGACCTCTGTCGCCGTGGCGGTGCTCCACCGGATCCGGCAGGTGCGCCGCCGGCATCTCGGCCGACGGCGGTGCACGGCTCTGCACCGGGTCCCTCACTGGGGCTCCCCGCGGCTTCCCTTCGCGTTCGGTGCTAGGGGCATGGGTAAAACGACGCGAAGATCGGGACAAAATCGGATCGGGATAACTCGAAATCTCTGAGAATCGGCGGGCTTGGAGGATGTATTGGGCGCCGCGGCCGCTCCAGAGCGTTCCGGAACGCTCTGAGAGCTCTCCAGAACGCTCTGGAGCGATTTATCCCGATCCTAGCCCTGTTTTAATGGGGCCTGGGCGCGAAGAGGGCGCGCCAAAAAGGCACGCAAGCCCCCTGAGCCCGGGCCAGGACGGCTGCGGGGGAGGAGGGAAGGCCTCGAGCTGAGCCCACAGCGGCGATGGGGTGCAGCCCCGCCCGCCTTGGCAGCCCGGCAGCAGCGATCGGAGCTTCGGCAAGAGGTCGAACTGGCCAACTCCCTTTGGATGGCTAGCAGGCCCGTCCTCCGGCCGAGAGTCTCGATCAGCTGCAGTCAGGAAGATCCCATCGGCCTACATGATTTCGTGAACAATCTGCCCCCAAATGAACGATTTCGCTTGGA